AAAAATAGCTTTATCATAAGAATAGCAGAAATGGGTCAGAAAGAGAAGACCCAGTCTCGCTTCTCCAGAAGACTGTTACTTAAGCACCACGTAGCCCATTTGCGCAGCCCATATGCACAGGCAGCTGCAGGCTGCAGCAGCTCCAGAGCGCTCACGCTTTTATCCCCAAGTCCAGGGCCACACATGATGCCCTTATCCCTTGCAGGGTTCTTGCAGCAGGGAACAGTGATGAGACAGACTCCTGAATTCATTTGAATCCTGGCTCCAGCTCTTCTGGATTTCAGGGTAATAAATCATAGAATCTCTCAAAGCTGGGGATTTTGAGTTTGTAAAAGGAGGATAAAAATCATATCTTCCTCGTGTGATGGCAGAGATTCCATGAGATGATCCCTTGGTATCATTCCTGGCACAAAGTAAGAACTCTGTGAATCTGAGCAGATCTTATTATGTTGTCTATTGTTGTTACACAGCTAGAAAAAGAAATTAAAAAGTAAATACCTCTGGGCAGATGACACACTGTTGCCACTGTTAAAGGGAGGATCTTGGTTGCTAAAGTGTGACCAAGTCGAAAAAGGGAGGGGATCTGAAACAGGAGCAGGGCAGAGGAAACAGACCTGCTGGTGCCTTCTCGTGCCTCTAATGTCAACTTCTTTTTCCAGACTCCAATTCAATAGATGTACTGTCTATTCAATGTACTGTCTTTTTCACATTTTAACTTTAAAAATTATATCCTTTCTTGTATTTAACTCATTTCCCCATCTAATCTGGCATAGCATGTGAAACACAATAGACCACCGGAAATATTTAATGGATGATTGATTTTAAGTTTCAAAAGTAAAAAATCTGGTTTCTGTTTTGCTTAGTAGAAAATCTAGGAGGATCTCCTGTATTTTAGAAGTAGTAAGCACTTACCAAATGCTTTTTCAAACACTAGTTAAAATAGATGGCCAAGTTTAAGGTGAGATTTTCCTAATCGTTATGACTAGTATGGATAAAGAAAATCCTGTTTAATTCTTGCTTTTTAATGGTGTGATATCCAGTTTATTCTCATTCCTAGCCTCATTTGATAGCTAGTTAAATCTTTTAAAGAGTCTCACAAGAACACAATTCAAATTTTAAGCCTTTTGAAAAGTATTAATAGGGTTGAGCAAGTTTATAAGTCTTCCAAAGTTTCATCTAGAAAATCATCTAGAGTCTAAATATTGTCTAGTGTTATGTGTCACGTCAAACTCACTTGATCACATAGGCCCTACCTTGGGTTCATTCTACCTTTAGTGAAGTGCAGCTGCACGTTTCCTTTCCCAATTTCTAGGTTTTATTTGCAGCTGCATGTTTTTATGTGATTGCCTGCACTGTGCAGAGGTAAATTACTTTTTGGTGTACTCGGAGAAGTAATGATCTTTTTAAATATTCACACAGATTTGCAGTCCTCATAATCTTGTGGATAGACCAGAGATGTTTGTTCTTATTTTGGTGTTGAAAATGTAGCAGATGATGTGATAAGGCTAGCTTCATTAATTCATTTTATAAGCAGCATAATATCATAGTTAATTCATCCATACATAGCCTCCAATTACCTCTTCAATTCCTGGGAACAGCCACAACCCCATCTTTCATTTTTATTACCTACCACTTAATTGCACTAATAGATTTTGCTTTTCATTTCTACATGATTTTCATTAGACAAACTGGCAAATGTTAACTCTTGCTGTTATTTTAGTAAGTAAGCATTTTTTACTCAGAGATGAGCAAGAAAAATGTTTTTTTTTAAACTTTAAAACATGTAAATGTACTTGCTAGCATCAAAATTCCAGATGATTACTTTTAACTTTTACTGTTTTAGAAAAGAAGAGGCTTATTTGGGACCAATAAATTCTGGAAGGTAAGGAATATTTGTAGCTAGAGCTATACAGTGGGTTTTTCCCCCCTCTTGAAAAGCTGCTTTAAAATTATTTACCAATGAATCATAATTTTCATAATTTCTTTGTATAATTCAAACTAAGAGTTAATTTAACATGACTATTCAACAATATTTTTCATTTAAAGCATATAAACATTTTAATAAAGAGTGTTGAAAGCACTCATCTTTAACAATTAAATGTCTATGAAGTCCCAACTGAATCTTAAAAAGATATGTTTGTTGTGTAATTTCATTTCCTCCAATAATTTACATAAGTATTTTCCATATAAAACCATTATTATAAAAATACATAGTCTTGAATCTCCTAAATTGAATCACTCGCATCTATAACATTTTAGGATTTATAAGAGCGTTCTTATACATACTGAATGCTTTATTCATTTGGAAAATTGGTGGTTGAATAAAGGAACTACCATTGATTTAATTATACATATCTCGTTATGATGGAGCACAGACATCATGCTAGTGTGAAAAACTGCATACAAGTTAATACCATAGTTATTATTTTCATCTAACTTTTAGAATAGTATAGGAGTTCTAAAAACAAAAATTCAGAATTTTACCACTTTCTCCTTTTAAAAAATCTGAAAACATTTCCTATGTTACTGCGAAGTGTAGATCTCACTGAAATGGTTCAGATTATTTGTAGTTGTTGTGTCAGATGCCAAATGATCAAAGTATCTCCTCAACCATATCTGCTCCAGGGTTGTCAGACAAACTGGCAGGTGGAGGATTCTTTTTTATACCACTTAGTTTTATTTTAATTAAATCATGTCTCCCAAAATATTTGCAAAAATGCTATAATTATAGAATTCTATGAGGAAGATAAAGGAGATTTAGATATGAGGAAAAAGTGAATCTTTTCCTAAAATTCCTGTGAGGAAAAAGAGAATCAAGTGGCAGCTAGAGAATATCTTTGCAAGTGAGAAATTTAGGGGACACAATTTTGATATGATTGGTGATAAGCATTCAAAAAATAGAAAAACAGCAGAAGCAGGATAAAGTTGCCTCAGGAGTTACTTGAAAAATTATGTGGGCAGCTAACAGCCTCAAAAACTTAAAGGAATATTTGCATGTAAGGATTGTGTTGGGGCCATTAGCAGTTATAAAATGAGAAAATAAACTAAGATTGCTTTCTGACATTTTGACATTCTCCTTGCCTCATGGGGGATTTTATTATTTTTTTCTCATTAAATACAATTTAAAGACTAGGGCTGTAGCTTGATAATAGTGTGCTCTTTAATTATAATTTGGGTTTCTCATATTGGAGAATCCATGTGATATTAAGCTTGCATGTCTTATTTATTTCACTTCACATAGATTATAAGAAAAATATATAGAGCTTTCTCAGGTGGAAAGGAAATCAAAAGAGGAGGAAAAGGAAATTTAAAAAAAGGAATTAAGATGTGCCATGTACATGTACCAACTCCACACAAGGAATGGAAACACTATGTACTGCAAATATGTACTAATAGGGCCGGGGATTTAGCTCAGTGATTCGGGGGCCTGCCTTGCAAGTGCAAGGACCAGGATTAGATCTCTGGTGAAAAAAAAAAAAGTACTAATAAAAAATATTTAAAATAAAATGTTTATTAAAATGTAAAAGAAACCATAGTGTTTGCCTTACCTATGTGAGGTCCTGGGTTCTATTCCCAGTATGGCAAAAAAAAAAATCAAGACCTCAAAGGAAATCCCCTAATTTTTCAATGATAGTTGGGTTCTAGTAATTAAACATAGTGTCCTTAATAGCTTGTTTCATTTGTACTTTTAAGTTATAATATTGATTTGGAGTGTGTATGTGGACAGTTCTATGAATTTTAACACATGTACAGATTTGTGTAACCATCCTTAGAGTTAGGATATCAGTTTTACCACTACAGAGAACGCCTTCCTCCCTTAGGAAGCCATATACCTGTTCTGCATGGTGGGAATACACTGCTCTGTCATGGCTCTTAAACTTGCAGAAAATGATAGGCTAATTTGCTATACAGAAGCTCTTCAACACACCGTCCTTTCTACTGTATTTAAGTTGTTCTATTGCTAATTTGACTCTTTGCTGAGTTATCATCATGACCAGGGGTAGTATTCATTTCTCCTCTCTATCAAATATCATCAACTAATCCAATGCTAAACTCTAACCTCAGGAGATTTCCCAGATGATGGTGTTAGCTGATCTGTTCTTGTTCATGTTCCATCTGTTTACGAGAATAGCTTTGTTCATTGCCTGCATTGTTTTTTGGGCTGCCAGTTGTCTGATGTTGATGCTGGAGATTATTATCTAGAATACACAAGAGAAACACGGCTGCATCTCTTTTTATAAGCTCTGCACATAGAGGTGTTTCTTTTTCTGAGTGTTGTAAGGGCTCTACGCCATACTTTTTCTGTGGCTGAGTACTTTCATCATTGTATATTTCTCTGAATATGTATGATATATGCAAGCCAAAAAGGGGAAATCACAGGCTATAAAGGAAAACTTCACTAGATCGATATTTAAACAAGGGTTGTTTATTAATCTCTTATAGGCATTTGAGTGTACAATTGTGACATGCATTTCCAGTAGGATGAATTTCAATCTATAGTGCATGAAAGTTAATAAATTATTTTAAAACAAATATCAATACTTTCTATGTTATAATAAGAGTCTGACATTTATGACTGCTGTAAATCAAAAATTAAGAACTTAAATGTATCTGCAGTACTTGTCACTGAGGTCATTTGAAACCACCTTAAGTATTGCCACCTACAGCAAAAACATTAACAACTTTAACCCTGACAAAGAAGTTTCTCATTGCATGATTCTTTGGGGATTTCTCAAGCCTCCTTTTTTAGACATTAGATTTCTTGGGATGTGGTCTTTTTTATTATTATTATGATTTCAACCAAATTTTTGTTTTTGTTTTTGTCATTTGCTTTTGTTAATTCCTGGAGACGAACATTAATGTTGAGTGAAATTCTTTATTATCCTTATTTGGGAACAAAAAGTAAAAACTTTAAAGAATAATAAAGCTATTTTTATTTGCTCATTCTCTTGTCTATCCTTTGACGATATGCACTCACTCTTTTATCATTTGCTCTTCAGATGGATCCTGTGCAAAAAGCAGTCATTAATCACACATTTGGAGTATCCATTCCTCCAAAGAAGAAACAAGTTATTTCTTGTAATGTCTGTCAGCTTCGCTTCAACTCGGATGTGAGTATCACCTTTTCATTGCTCTCTGTAGTTTGTCAAATTGAAAGTCTGATTGGTCGGAAGATGTACACCTCCTCGTATTTCCAAACTCTCGAGAAGCCATCCCAGTCATAGCCTACTCATATCAAGGTGCCAGAATTCCAAGGAATTGGTGTTCAGTAATTCAAACAAACAATAGAATTAAATGACTGATTTCCAAAATTAAGAATTTCTCTGTGTCATCAGTCTCATCTATACTGTTTTACACTTAATCTCTTCAATTATATGTACTTGTTAAAAATACTTGGAAAGTAAAAATAATTTTTAAAATTGAAATGGTATGAATATTAAGGGAATCCATGATTATTATTCTTAATTTTGATATGAAGTATCACATTTCACGTGTGTGCTAAATCTTGTGAAATACCTTAGAGTAATTTACTAAATAATTTATATTTTCCTCGAACATGGAAGAATAGGGAAAGCTTCATAAATTATTTTACCTGGTCAACAGAAAAATTCTGTTAAGTAAGATAAAAGCAAAAGGGTAAAAAAATCTATCTTCTTTATGAAAGTAGATTTTAAAATATGTAAATAAAATAGAAAATAAAATAAATGATGGTAGTAATATTATCAGATAAACCCAATTAATAGTGCAAATTAGAATTTGAAGGTTAAATAGTATATGTGGTTTTCCTGAGTTACTCAGCTCCAGAAACTACATGTTACAAGAGTTATGTGTTATATTTTAAAATACCAAAGTAACAAATATCCTTGTAAACATATAGTAAAAAGTGATATTTTGATAACTACAGAGTAAGCATAATAAAAATTATAATCATTGGGAAAAAAGAGTTGTTCATCATGATTTGTGAAATTATACTTAATGCAATTTTAATCCAAAGTCAACTGAATTTTTGTGGTACCCGATAAAATTCCATACTCAGAAATTTGAATGTACCTAAATAAGAAAAATGTGCTGTTAATTCATTTGAAATTATAATATTATTAGGATGTGTCAGTTCTCCCCAAACTGCAGACCCAAAAAGAATCCTGATGAAAATCCCAAAAGGCTTTTTATTTTTAGAAAATTACACACTGCTTCTCCATTATACAAAGTAAAGAAAATCCACAAAGGGTCAGATAGAATTCTTCTGAGTGAAAAAATATTTTTATATTCATTGTTGTGGTGTTCTCGTGACTGTCTTTGTTTTTAAGTCATAGAACTGAACACCCAAAAAGGAATTTTACTATATACCAAGTATACCAAATCCAATCAGGAAAAATTAATGATATGAGCTACAAAATTTACAAATAGAAGACATTTATGGTAGAGATGTGGCTACTAAATACAATAAACAATAATATTTCGACTAGTTGAAGGTATAGGAAGAGATTTTTGCAAGAACAGAGAGGGTATTGAATACTGAAATCGATCCAATATATTTAACAGTTTTGCATACAGATACAAATTTCTATAGTTACACAGAAAACTAACATCTCTGTGCCTTGACAAATATAAAATGAAAATGTCCACTCCTTCATTGACCACTGGAAAATGAATTCCCACCTGAGGCCATGTTCCTCTCCTCGGTACAGCAGTGCCGGATGTTGAAAATGTCTCACAGGACAAGAAAAACAGACCTGAGTTGAAATTTTAAAATCTTGTAAAAGATGCTGAATTTCATGAACTCCGTGAGTAAGGAGTTAGAGAACTATTTGATACAAAGCCATTCACAAAAGAACTTGCCTGTTAGAAGTTAATTTAAGAGAGAAGTAAAAGGCTGATGACACAGTTTGCCTCCTCGGCACAAAGGTTTTGAATATCAAGTCACTAACAGAAGTCTTGGAGAGATTTTTATTTATTTGAATTAAAAAAATATCTATTTCCATGGTTCAAAGATCTTAGTAAATTTATTTTTGAAATTTGTATTACATTAAGCTTATTGATACATTTACATAAACTTTGCTTCTGTTTTTTCCTTCTATCTCATATTTTTCCTCCCCCATTTCCCTTTCCTTTTGGATCTTTTCTCCTATTTTACATTGTCTATTATACATGCTCATCCTCATTTACTCTTACAGTATCTCACACCAGAGAAACTATTGAGTATTTACACACATGTGTCCTATTTATTTCACTTAAGAATATGGCCTCAATGTGAATCCATTTAGCTATAAATACCTCTAGTTTATTATTCTTTATGGCTGAGTAGTACTCCATTTTGTATTTTAAAAAATCTTTATCCAGTCACCAGTTAAAGGGCATTTGGACTGTTTCCAAGATTTAGCTATTAGAATAGCAGTGAACGCCTGCACTAGGAAAATTAAGCACACTCAAATAAACAACCAAATGCTAGCCTCAAGCTACTAGAAAAAGAAGAGCAAGACAAACCCAAAGCTCATACAGGAAAGTGTAAAGATCAGAGCAGAAATCAATGCAATCAATGGAGACTAAGAGAACAATAAAAAAAAAATCAATCAATTGAAGAGTTGGTTCTTCAAAAGAGTAAATAAAATTGACAAACCCTTAGCCAACCTTATCAAAAAAGGAAAGAAAAGGCCCAAATCCATGCAATTAGGAATGAAAATGGTGATGTTACAACTGATCCAGCAGAAATCCAAAGGATCATCAGTACCTACTTTGAGAATTTGTACTGCAATAAGATGGAAAACATAGAAGAAATGGACAGATTCTTAGATACATATGAATTACCAAAGTTGAACCAAGAAGATATAAAAGTTCTAAACAATCCAGTATCAATCAATGAAATTGAAAACATATTCAAAAACTTACCAGCAAAGAAAAGCCCAGGCCCTGATATCTTCACTGCTGAATTCTGTAAGATTTAGGCAAGCCCTAACACCACTACTTCTCAAACTCTTTAATGAAACTGAAAGATCTTAGAAAATTTAAAAGTACATTGAAAAAAGTCTGGCTCTGTCCTCTTCCGTGTCTTCCTAACCTCTTTGTAATTTCATATTTGTAACCACTTTCATATTTTCTACAATTCCTTCCAGGCATTTTGCAAATGTAATTAAATGTGAATACATATTCCTCCCTTTTCTACGTATAATGTAACAAATTGTGTACATGTTTCACTATCTTCTATTCTTATGTAACAACATATTTCAGGAATTTACTCCACCGGAAGACAAAGACCTCTTTTTGTTTGCTTGCCTTCCTTTCCTCTCATCTTTCTTTCTTCCTTCCTTCATGTTTTTCCTCTTTCTCCCCCTACCCCCCGCTCTTTCTTTTTAAATATGATGGGCAAAGATGACCATGTCCCACACTCTGGAACCTGTTGATATGTTACCTTACACAGCAAAGGGGAATTAAAGTAACAGATGGAATTAACAGTGCTGATCAGCTACCCTTAGAGTAAAAAGATTGTCTTGGTTATCCTGAGGGCCCAATGTAATCCCAAGGCCACTTCAGATAGAAGACAGGAAAAGAGGCAGGCAGAGTTATGCAAGACAAGAAGGACTCAACTGGATATTGTTGGCTTTGAAGGTAAAAGAAGGGGATAAGGGTAAAGAATGTGGGCAGCATTTAAAATCTAGAAAATTGATTTTTCCCTAGAGTGTTCAGTCCTGCCAACACCCTAATTTTAGCTCAGTGAGACCCACATCAGACTTCTGATCTCCAGAACTATGAGATAATAAATTTGTGTTGTTTTGTTTATGATGATTTGCTATGAAAGCAATAGAAAAAACTAACATAATAGTTTATTTACTTAGTCCGTTATAGACTGACACTTAAGTTCTTTCCCATCTTCTTGTATTTTATAGATTTTCAGTTAATAAATTACATCCTTTAAATCCACGACTTTTCTTTAATGTTCATATAATTTTATTCATTTTTAAGCATATATTGTGTTCTACCTGTATGACAAACACTATATTATATTAATTTCCAAAATCCAGTATCAACTTTTACAGTATGAATGAGAACATCTGTGATTTGTCCTGACATAGAACCCCAAGAACATGTTGCAGGCCTCCTACTGTGTATTTTTATTATTCCAAAAAGAAGCAACACAATATGGAACAGTTCTTGAGCTGATATGGAGTTCTTGAACATGGATTTCAATCCTAATTCCGAGTCTGGTCAATCACTTCACCACTTTTGACCTCAGTTTCCTTTTCTGTAATCTGACCTAAAATGGATGTGTATTTTGGGAAGACTGTACCAGCTCTATGATTAAAAATATTTTCCATTGTATCCAGCCTGGGATGATTTCCACTGTTAGGAGGATAGGACATAAATACTTTTATCTTACCGATAGAACAACTAAGACCAAGAAAGAAAGACTGTGAATTCTATTTTTAATTTTTGTTAAGGATTAAGAAGAAGTATGAAAATTTTCATTCTGTGCTTCAGAATTGTTCTGAGAGTAGGTTCAGTTTTTATTTGAGCTGCATTCCATGTCAGCCATTTTTTTGTGTACACTAATAGGGGTGTGGACAAATATACTCACATAAGCATGTGACCACCGGATTCCTTATTGCTACTCAGAAACTCCATTGATGATAAAGAGAGGGATTAGATGTCTGAGTCATGCCTAGATTCTGGACAGTAAAGCCACAAAGTCTTGATGGCAGATTCACAAATGTGACTTATACACGTTCTTGGTGTTTAGTCATGGTTCTATAATCTGCATAACTGAGCTCTGAAACTGAGCAATTTTTATTGGGGAAAAGCTTTATTATTTTATAATTACCCTATTTACATTTTAATGTAAGAATTAAGAAGATGCTCATCCTTATTTTCTTTAATAACATTTCTAAATCAGCCTGAGACTGAATTGGCTTCACAATTCAGTGTAGGAAATATGTTTATTGAAAAATCTGGAAGGCAAATTTGCACAGTAAATAGACTGCATTCTCCAGTTCTCCATTTCCCATATAAAATGTACCAGGGTAGGCCTCTTGCATTAAAATTCAATGTGACCTAGTTTAAGTGTTCCTAGCCTCTTTCCAGCTTTTATCATCTCAGTAGAACTCCACTGTTGGAAAGC